CCCCAAAACCCCAAAACCCCAAAACCCCAAAACCCCGGGTCTTTGAAATTTTATTGGATTAGATGATTTGATTAATTATATGATTTAAGTCATTATGGGGTTTTGTTTTTCTTATGAAATGCCATATCCTTTTAGGAATAGTAGAGTCGGGTTTCTCAAAACTAAAATTATGAGGAGCTTCAGAACCACTACAAAGTGAGCCTTAACCATTTTATATGCTTAAAGAACCCTCGTTCTTCTTCAATATAGTCCTTCTGTAATCAATTTTACGATTTTTGAATTTGAGGTTCACGTTTTCAATATAAAGCTTTGGGTTCTTTTTAAACATTCTTTCATGCCTACTCTGGTTTTTACATTAATTCATCTGATACAGATGATATACACTAGATATATTAAGATTCTTGCTCAGGTGTATAACTGAGATGAAGGTGGTGATTGAGCTATTTAATATTAAGCATATAGATAAGTCTTCTCTGATCTGTTCGTCCAGTCTTTCTCTTTTGATAGGAATATCAATGGGATACAAAATCCAATGTAAAAGAACTCATTAATGATCTCCAAAAGATTATCTTTGGGTCTCTAAAGGTCTGATAATCAGAATATATCAAGCATAGATTGTAGTCACAATTGTGGAAACAATTGGGCTGATGTATAGATTGAAATCATTTAGAACTAAAAATGTGAGGGTTTACTTACTAATCACAATGAGTACAAATATTTATCTTCTGAGAAGAAATAGGAAGGGATACAAATCTACTGCATTACTCTTTTTAAGTCCATTATTGATAGACTTCCAACCCTTTACCCATTTAGATTTGCATTTTCTAGCACAAAATAGTTGGCCAATTATTAGTAGAAAGATGATAACAATCAGTCATATAATTATGGATAAAATGAAACTATTCAGAATGACTACATTTGTGATTTCTCTTCTTTTAATTTCCGAAATTGAAGTCAAAATCATCATTAAGAAAGGCTCTACAAATAATCTGTAATATAATTCAAAAGTGAAGAAGTTTGAAACTATTTTTATTACTCCCATCAATCATGTCTTCCTAGGATTTTGGTATTAATAAGTTTCAAGGAAGAAAAAATTATATAAAAATATACCAAAAGTAACTTGGAAAAATATATTGCCTGATAGATTCAAGAGAGCTGATCCATTTTCTACTCCTGCAAGAAGTAACTCATCATTTGGCTGTTCATAATCGAACCATTCATTAATTTTTCTAAAAATTATAAAGAAACTCCAATCAACATTAAAGTTGATCAGAGCAGCTGATAAGGAGTGGATGCACATTTGAATTGAAGAAGGTAAGTAGGATTTCCACACCAAAAAAAACTAGTACTATCTGAATCTGATTAATTACAGAAAAAAAAGTTACTTGGAGAATTCCCAAAAAATATTGAAGAAATCACACTAGAAAATGCTGAACCTCCAGCTGCTCCGTATGTCGCTTTTTGTTGTTGCTTTTGAGAAGAAGTAAGATTTTTTGTCTCTTCCTTTTCTATATCAATTGTCTGGGTTTCCGTATTCTGTTTCATTTCATGCCCATTTGTCTTCTATTCCTCACTTATTATTTCATCCATCCCCTAACTTTGTGTTTTCATCATCTCATTCCTCTTCTTTTGCTCTATACTTGTTTAGACAAAAGTTTTCTCAAATATGAGAGATTAAATTTTTATTTCGAGAAGTGCCTGCTATTCATACTCCTCATACATCTTGGGAAATTATTGAACCTCCATTACAAATCGAGTCTTCTTCTATTGATCAGTTCAAATCTCAATCATCTGAACTAAGAGCATTCCCATCGTCTCAGGACTCAATTCCTGCTTTAAGACCGTCCCCTCACTGAGTTATTCAATGATTCTTCTGGCTATTTTGGTAAAATCCTGATGTTCATTGACCTCACAAATCACGTGATATCGAAGGATTTCTGGTTCAAACATAATTGTCTTCTATTTTTCATGAGGCACTTCATTCATCTGAGTTAGCTATATTTCCGTAATCTCATTCTTCACCATCGACGAGGAGGCTGTCTCCTCAAGCAGGCTCTCATGTAGGAGTCACTCCTGTAAAATTGCTTTAAAACCCATTTGGGCAGTGAATAATTAAATCGAAGACAGAAACCCTTGTTTTCGGGTAATTTAAGTGAGAACTTGAAATAGACACAAAAGCTCCAAAGTTTTCTGACTGAGAAACTTTCAGGTAAGCTTGTCCATCGTATTCAGCATATCTTATTTGAGTTTGGTATAGTCTCCTTTGCTCGACTGGAATTAATGAAGATGTTTCACTTTGTATTGTGACATTCCTGTCGGATGAATACAATGTGGATGTGTTATCAGCCTCAACAAGAATCTGTAAGTCTTGAATGGAGGAAGGATAATAATAAAAATCATATATGATCCCCACATTATCTGACTGAGAAGACACTAAATTCCCTCCTCCCCAATTCCGATTGAGATTTGAAATAAAGTTTGATTTTGGACTCCCATTATAGTAAATATTGTCGAAATATCTTGTATATACCTGTTGATTAAGCTCATAAATATTTATTGACATTTTTCCTTGGCGAGCGACACTGTAAGATCAAGAATAATTTCCTGAGCTTTCACTCATTACAACTGGAATCCTCTGATCAAGGACTGTTTGTTAAACAAAGACTGCAGAGCAGCCAAGGCTTGAAGCATTTGTTCATTGATTTCCAAATGTTGCTGCTAAAAACTTCCCTGGGGTGTAGTTCTGAACAGCAATTGAAATAGTTGAATTATTGTCGATAGTAACAGGAGAAGATTCTATAAATTGAAAGAAATTTACTTATAGTTGAGCTAAGTCTTCTACGATTTCTTTTTGAATCAATAATAATAATCCTGATGCTGTCTGAATTGCTTACCTATAATCGTTTTTCACACCTTATCACTCATATTAGCATAAAAGAACATAAATTACTTTATATAAGAAAGCTTTATTACAATAAGATTCACTGAATTCACTTCATCTAAAAATTGATGCCATGACAAATTTTGTCTCATAAAAATTCTTGCCAAAATACACAATCCCCAATTAATTCTAAAATTCTTACCTCGTCTAATCTGATATCATCTATATGCTTCCATTAATGTTTTTCAAGTTCTCCCTGACTGACACCGGCTGAACTATCCTCGTCTCATGCTCAGAGCATCAATATAACTGCAAGTAAGCACAGAACAGCTTTAAAAAGCGACATATTAAGTCTAAATTCTCTCATACAAGCATTAACATATTAAGATTTTTCTAAAGGTCTTCTTACTCTAAGAATCTATGTTGCATTTAGTATCACAGTTAAACACTAAATCAAATGTCTATCTATCAGCAGCCAACATCAGAAATGAAAACAATATCTTACCCTTTTCTCAGACTTTAGAATTCAATAATTAAGAAATTAAGAGGGGTTTTGGGGTTTTGGGGTTTTGGGG